ACACAGTGTGGGCAAGGTCTCCGGAGCAGAGACACGGGGCCAGAGGTTGAGCTGATGCACAGCGTACTTCACTGCAAACGGCCATAGGATATGGGGAGTAGCCGCATGGATCATGGAGGTACGAGCGACCTCCATGACTAAGCTAATGCGGCGCTCAGCAACCCCATTCTGCTGTGGAGAGGTCGGAAGCGTGAACGTCTGGCGGATGCCGTGCTCCGCACAGTAGGCTGCTAAGAGGTCGGAGGAAAACTCACCACCCCTGTTAGAGTGTGGACGCAGGACGGGAAAGTCTATCTGGAACCGCTTGCGGGGCTAAAGACGAGCAGCGCGGATCCAAGGGATCAAAACATCAGGGACCTCACCCTTGGTGCGCAAGGGGAAGACCGTGGTGTAGCGCGTGTAGTCGTCAACGACCAGCAGGAAGTACCGCTCGTGGCCCTGTCCACGGACGCGGGCTGGGCCCCACACGTCCAGGTAGAGAGTCTGCAGTGGAGCCTCTGTGGGAGGGAACGAGGAGGAGTGAGGAGTGGCGCGCTGCCGCCCCTCAACACAGGGAAGACAGGGAGGAGCAAGCGAGGGTGGGAGGGGAGGGAGAACCCTGGGAAGACCAGAGACAAGGTACCGGGAGTGCATGCCACAAAGGCGCTGCACTGAGGGGTGACCAAGGCGGTGGTGCCAGAGGATGATCTGGTGCGACAGGGTGCAAAAGGAGCAGGGGGGGAACGAGGAGGAGTGAAGAGTGGCGAGCTGCCGCCCCTTGACACACGGAAGACAGGGAGGAGCAGGCAAGGGTGGGAGGGGAGGGAGAACCCTGGGAAGACAAGAGACAAGTTACCGGGAGTGCATACCACGAAGGTGCTACACTGAGGGGTGACCAAGGCGGTGGTGCCAAAGGACGGTCTGGTGCGATAGGGTGCAATACGAGCAAGGGGCCGACAACTGACTAGATGCAGACGCAGACGTAGCTACCCGAGGGGACTCAGTGGTCAGTGTGTACAAGTCCGACCGCGGCTGCCAAGTGAAGGTAGCCAGGTGGCGACCCATCCGAGCACACGTACAGTGGGTCACACGCTCATAGGCAGGGGTGAACTGGTGAACACCGCCGTCCTGGAGAGCAGAGCCTGCTACGAAGTTCGTAGAGAACGAGGGGAGGTAAAGACCCAATAGGGTGCCGGACGGAACCGCAGTACAAGGGAGGAGAGTTGAGGAGGTCGCAAGGACCGGGCCCCCAGAGTGGTCAGCGAGGTAGACAGCCACAGGCCGAGCTAGCTGCTCAAAGACAGTGCGGTCACGAAAGAAGCAGCGGGAAGCACACGAGTCCAATGTGAAGGTGTGAACTGCCTCAGTAGACGCAGTACCTGCAGGCGCAGACGCACAAGCACCTAGAGCAACAGACTCGCCAGCACCGAGAGCAACAGCCTCACTAGGACCTAGGGCAGCAAACGCACTAGCACCTAGAGCGGCAGCCTCACTGGTCCCAATACCCGGGTCGGGTGGTACACGCAGGTAACAGTCTCCCTCAACACTAATAGTCGATGCATACGTAGCACCAAGGATAGCATCAAAATCAAGAGCAAAGATATCAATGTTCTTTTTGAGCAAATCAGCCCAGCGGGGCAGCTCATAGGCATCAAGGAACTGCTCACGCCAGGCGACGTCGAAACGAAAGAAGCAGCGCTGCGCCGTGTGAAACCTCCCACAGGTCTGGCCAGTGCGGTCACCTGTGCGGATGACGTACGGGCAGGTACCTCCACCCCCAGACCCCCCACGCTGAGAGTACCACTCACAGCGCTGCTGGGGAGATGGGGTCTCGCCGGGACGCTGCTGCTGCGGCCTCTGGCCACCGCCGATCCCCCCACGCTGCACCGCTCCACCGTGCCCGCCACTAGCTCCACTGCCGCCACCACTGCCACCACCACCCCCGCCACCCCCACCACCGCCGCCACCACCACCCCCGGCTCCGCCATTGACCCCCCCACCACCAGCACCACTCCCACCACCGCCACCACCCCCGCCCCCTCCGCCCCCTCCACCACCGCCGCCCCCGCCGCCACACCCGCCACCCCTGCCCCCCTTGCCTCTGCCGCCCTTGCGCCTCCCACTAGGAGCAGACGCAGCCCCGACCCCTTCAGCACCGAGGTAGTCGACAGCAGCAGCAGATGCAATGGAGGGGAGGAGGGGGACGCGGGAGCACCCCTCAAAGAAGGGAGTGCGAGGGTCGCCACAAGAGGCACCTACAGCTACAATGCTCTTCTCAGCTGCTAGGAGTTCCTTCTCGAGCAGGTCGATAGTGAGGTCGGTGGGGGAGAGGGCGAGAATGTGGTCCTTGACAATGCGAAGGGAGTCAGGGAGGCGGGTGACTAGGTGGTAGAGTGTGAGGTACATCGGGGGAGGGTTCTTGGCTAGGAAATCGGGGGGAAGTGCGGCACGGTAGCGAAGATCACTGGTACGGAGGTGTGTGATGAGGTCAGCTACTATGGCAAAGGCAGACAGATCGGGGAAGAGATAGGGCACTGAGAGACGGCCTATCGCAGCAGTAGCAAGGGAGGAGCAGCGTGCAACTATAGCATCGTACAGCTCCTTAGCGGTCTTATGCTAGCCAAAGTGATCGCGCTCATCTAACGACAGGTGGCTGCCAACGGCTAGGCGAGCATGAGCGTCACGGGTCTGCCACTGTGAGCGAGTAGTGCTGTCAGCAGTAGCAGCAGGTGCGGGAGTGGCGCCGGACGGGTGGTCAAACAGGGAAACATCGTCCTTGGTAGTGATCTGGAGGAACAGGTGCAGGTCATCGAGCCAAACGTCAAACTTAATCGGACGGCCCTCAGCGTCAAAACTGAGAACGGTAGGACTGGCCATAGTGGCAGTAGCAGTAGTAGGAACAGTAGCAGCAGTAGGTGGGGCACAGTAGGGCGGCGCGGCTCGGTCAGGGCGGCGCAGCACGGCTCGGACTGGGCTACGCGGCGCGGCTCGGACGGGCAGGGCGGCGCGACGGTGGGCCTGCGCGTGGGCGGCTGTTGCGTACGGGCCGCGGCTGTGCGTGGGCTGCAGTCGCGCGCGAGCGGCGGCCTACAAAAGCGACGCAGCGGCCTACGCACGGGGCTGCGGCGCACTGGACGGCTAGCAGGGCCGGTCGACGGGCGGCTAGTGGGCTGCTCGTGGGCGGCGCTGGTCGTGCGGGCGGCTAACGTTCGACGCGCGCGCGACTTAGGCCACGCGCGGGCGGCTGGCGGGCTACGCGCGCTAGAAAAAACGGGCCGCGCGCGGGGCTAGCGAGCTGCGCACAGGCAACGTTAGAGAGAGAGGCGCGCAAGGGCGCACTAACAGAGAGGCGCACGAGGGCGCTAAGGCGATAGGGCGCTTCTAGCGGAAAGGTGGGCCCTTAGGACTAATCGGTCCTAGGTTCCTAACCTAGGCTCGTAATACCATGTTAAAATGAACAAGAGTGATTGCACTAGGAAAAGAGTTGGGTACAAGTAGGAAACCCTAAACTTACTGTACCCTATAGTAACAACCCCACTACAGCCTAAACAAACTGTAGCAGATATAACATTTGACATGCGTTACTTACATGTATAGATGGTTGTAAGAGTAAGTCACCTACTAGTATGGATGGTACCAAGAGTCATTGCGTTACTTACCCGTATGGATCGTACTATGGGTAAGTAAGTCATGTACATATATGTATGGTACTATGAGTGAGTGCGTGACTTATCCGCATGGATGGTACTTGTTGGTGTAAGGGCCAAATAAACTCAAGCTACTAAGACTTAATCAAACCTCTCCTCGGGGTCACCTCCAAGGGTCCTTGGGTGCCTGGTACAAGACCAGCCCCTATCCTCGGGTCCGAGTTTGTAGAGAGAGGGATCAAGAATGACTTTGCCAAAATATCAAGAGCACCTTGAACGTCGTGCAGCTTATCTTGCGGACTAGCGATCGAATTGAGTTGAGACTTTGCTATATCGAAGCTCGCTCCAAGAGCTTTAAAATAACAGCGAAGCAACGGCGAGTCAACCGAGGAGGTTGACAAAATGTAACTGCTGGAGGTTATGCAAAGGTCAGAGGTAAGCGACCTTTGACTCGACACATGCAGCGCGACAGCAAGGACAAACAGCTGACTCGGTATCGAGCAGTTGCCCGAGTCGTCACTGTATCGAACCGCAACAGCAACAGCAAAACAGTTATTGCACCCTCCTTGTAATCTTATAAAAGCTTGTATTACTTCTTTACGATTAATGAATCTTGCCCTCACACACCAGCGCAAGGTGGTTCAACAATTTGTCACTAAACTCTTCCGCAATACAACATCTTTATCGGAGTCTTAGTCCTGCGAAGATCCTAAGGGCTTTTCTCAGCCGAACATGAAAAAACTATAAGCGCATGTAAACTATAAATTTTGAAATTGGTTCAAAACACAGTAACGATTTTTACTTAAGTAGGCGGATGTGTTGCAAATTCGGTTCGCTTCACATTCGAACCCTGCACTGGATTCGAGTCCAGTGAGCATAAGCTGTCAGGGGCACTTTGTGAGTCATCAAGTGTATCTCCCAGCGCGGGCGAAAAAATCATTGAAGACACCTATGTAACTTCGACTCGATTGAAAAGGCAAGCACGAGATCTACTGTTTGGTGTTAGAAAATATTATATATATATGTCATTTTATAAACGTATGCGCTTATAATTTTGACTCAATTATAAGCCCACCCCCCTAAAAAACCTGTTTTATTATACCCCCCCATGGAGGCTTATCCGGGGGGTGACGGTACATCCGAGACGGGCTCCAGATAGAAGCGCAGGTGCTCAGCATAGGCATGCGCTCATATCCGGGCCATACGCCAAGCGCTCATGCCGTTGCTCATACTTGTACTCGTTTGCCGACTTAATGTAATCCTCACTTACTTGATTCATTGCACTTGTTACAACAGTACATTCAGTGTGTACGGATAGCATGGGCTAAGGCACAGATCAGCTGGTACTTGAATGTCCCATGGTAAGGGGAAAAGTTAGGAGTGTCGCTGGGACATGGCGAGCATGTTGCGCACAAAGGCTGCCCCGTCACTGTCATTGGCCCGCTGGCACTCCCTCAGCAGTGCACTGCTGGAGCGAGAGGGAGAGGGGGGGGGGGGGGGGGGGGGGGGGCACTTGGTGTATGGCAAATGGAAAAGGGCACGTGGCTGAAGGAGAAAACGCCAAGGAGTAAGGGGCACAGGTGAAAGACAAAAGGCCAGGGGCAAGGTGCAAAAGCGAAGGAGAAAAGGGGAGCAAGGTGCAAAAGCGAAGGAGAAAGAGGAGGAAAGAGCAAAGGCGAATAAGAAAGAGGCGCACGGAGCTAAGGCGAAGGAAAAAAAGGGGGCAAGGTGCAAAAGTGAAGGAGAAAAAGGGGCAAGGAGCAAAGGCAAAGGAGAAAGGGGGGCAAGGTGCAAAAGCAAAGGAGGAGGGGCAAGGACAAAGCACAAGGGGCAAGCGGCAATGTGCAAGGGGCACAGAGAAGGTCAAAGAGCAGGGGGCAAAGGGCAAGGTAAAAGGGGAAGCAACAACCGGCAAAGGGCAAGGATGGGTAAATGAAGTGAGACATGGGCAAGAGGCCATGGTGACGGGGGGAGCAGCAAGGCTGCATGGTGCAGAGGTGGCGGGAGCAGCGCACCGCAGCAGGTCAGGGTGTCTCTCCATGGCCGTGCCCGCTGCTGCCGCCTCCGCCACCAGCGCGTGCGATGCGCCTGCGACGCGGCTGAGAGCCCCCAGGCAGCGCAGGCGGGCCAACCAGCACGGCACATCCGCCTGCACGCCCGCTGCCCCCATCTGCTGCCACAGCTGCTCCCCCCGCCTCCACTGCCGCTTGCGCACACACGCTCGCAGCAGCTCCGCATACACATAGGCCGTTGGCTGCTGGGCGAACTGCCGTGCCCCATGCACACACACACACACATCCACGCACACTTGCACACACACACACACACACACACACATCCACACACACTTGCACACACACATGCACACGCACACACACATGCACACACACACACGTGCACACACACACACATGCACACACACACACCCATGCACACACACACGCACAAGCACACACACACATACACATACACACACACACACACGGACGGTTATGACTGGAAACGAGCTCCAGCTTCCTTCTTGTTGCCCAAAAAGGGGGCACTTTTGTGCAACCATGGAATGGTGGAGTTGCTGAAGCAGCTTGACTGGAACTAGATGGGCAACAGAAAGCCCCCCCCCTCCATACATTGCTCGTGTCCAAGAGGAAGCATGTTGCGTTAGATTGCAACTCTACAAAACCGTTTCTTGGGGTAGAGTACGAGTGAACGCACTTGTGTTTGTGAGAAGGGCTGAACAAGCAAACGAGAAAAAGGCAAGATCCAGGTGGACCTATTCGAATCAAACTCGCTTCCGTTCATGCCCAGTCAGACATGGCATCACAGACATGGCATCACAGGCATGGCATCACAGGCATGGCATCACAGGCATGGCATCACAGGCATGGCATCACAGGCATGGCATCACAGGCATGGCATCACAGGCATGGCATCACAGGCATGGCATCACAGGCATGGCATCACAGGCATGGCATCACAGGCATGGCATCACAGGCATGGCATCACAGGCATGGCATCACAGGCATGGCATCACAGGCATGGCATCACAGGCATGGCATCACAGGCATGGCATCACAGGCATGGCATCACAGGCATGGCATCACAGGCATGGCATCACAGGCATGGCATCACAGGCATGGCATGACCCACCAGGCGCGGCAGAGCATCCACGAGGCTGATGGCGCGCTCCAGCCACGGCACCGCCTCTGCATCGCTGCCCCCACCACCGCTGCCTACCTCCTCCTCACTCGCCTCTGCCCGCTCCACCTCGCCCACTCGCCCTGCTGCCTCGCTGCTTGCTGCGGGCCGGCGGATGGCGATGGCCGTGGCAGTGGGTGCAGCGGGGTGGGTGGGGCGGGCGGGAGGTGCAGCAGCGGCGGTGAGGGCGGCGTGGCAGTCGTCGTGCAGCAGCAGCTGGCGGATGGCACTCTGCACGGCGCTGCAGGGGCCAGGGGGGCCAGGGGGGCCAGGGGGGCCAAGGGGGCCAGGGGGGCCAGGGGGGCCAGGGGGGCGAGCAGGATGGTGAGCGGGAGGGGAGAGAGGCAGGCTCCAACGCCCCGTAGCGAATGGGGAGACACAGAGGAGAAGATGATTTGCATATGGCAGGGCCACAGGCAAGTGCATGAGCGCCTGTATGGTATACAACGTACTGCTGCTTGCCAACCCAGCCACGTCATTCCTACCTCCCCTTGCCCCTCACTCACCCTGCTCCTCCACCATGCCCTCTCACCGTGGTTTCACCCGAATGCCAGAGGCTGCCAGGTCAGCAACCAATCCCGAAACGCCACCCGCATCAGCCTGGTTCGCCACCCTCTCTGCCACTCCCTCCTCCCATCGACTACTGCCACCCGCCTGGCCGTCCATGCGCCCCACCTCCCTGCATTCACTCCCCTCCCCTGCTCCTCTCTCCCTCTCCACTCTGTCGCAGCGGCCACTGCCGTGCCCTCCATGTGCCACGCCCCTCCCCACGCCTCCGTCCATGCTGCTGCCAGTGCTGGTGCAGGCGGCGTGTGGCGGCGCAGCAGAGGAGGCGCGTGCAATGTCCTGTGGGAGGGGCAGCGAGGCAACACACACTTGGCCGTGCACGCAGCATCACTGCATACACACAGTGCACACAGGTGCGGCAACGGCACAGTGACAGGTGGAGTGGACGAGACAGTGGCACGGAATCCACGGCAGGACACCTCACACACTCATCCTCTCAGGGCACACCTCAGCCAGGGCGTGCGTGGGTGAGGGCACACCTCAGCCAGGGCGTGCGTGAGCGCGGCATCAATGGCTTCCAGAAACGTGAGCTCGGAGGAAGCTTCCTCGCTGCTGCTCATGCCGCCCTCCCTGCTGCTCATGTCCCCCTCACTCGTGTATATGCTGTCATTGTCGCTGCTGCTGCGCGGGCTGGGCTCGACACAGTGCATAGGAGCCGTGCTGCCGTCAATGCTGTGCCCATCCGCAACTCGCCCTGCCACTCCACTCCACGCCTCCCCACGTCCTTGCCCATCCCCAACCCCCTCCAATAGTAATGCTTCTTCCAACGCCTCCCCTGTCTCTTCCCAACCCCTCTGTGTTGGGGGCGTGGCTTCCCCCTGTGCTGCCGGGGGCGTGGCGTCCCCCTGTGCTGCGCGGGCAGCACCACGCGAGGCCTCCTGGAGGCCATCCTGCGGGGCAGGCCGGGTACCATCCTCACGGGCAGGCTGGGTTGCATGGGCGGCAGGCTGGGTGGCATGGGCGGTGGGGTGGGCGGCAGGGGCGGCAGGATGGGCGGCAGGGGCGGCGGGATGGGCGGCGTCCATGAGGCGGTGCAGGTGCAGGGCGGTGGTGCCGTGGCCGCTGCGCACGTGCACTGCAATGGCCACCTCGTACAGCTCCCTGCCACCACACAGGGGGGGGGAGCGGTGACCGCCACCACAGCACTCCAGTGAAACCAGTTAGGTGCCATGGATCTAACACCTGTGCCATGGATCTTCACGTGGCAGCAACTCTTAGGTTTCAACGCCTGTGCTTGTCAGTAGTGATTTGTAAGAGATTCTTGGGTAAACAAATACGGTGGTACTATGCCTCACCTCCCGCCTCACCTGGTCACAGGGCAGCCGTCAGCCTCACCTGGTCACAGGGCAGCCATCAGCCTCACCTGGTCACAGGGCAGCCATCAGCCTCACCTGGTCACAGGGCAGCCATCAGCCTCACCTGGTCACAGGGCAGCCATCAGCCTCACCTGGTCACAGGGCAGCCATCAGCCTCACCTGGTCACAGGGCAGCCATCAGCCTCACCTGGTCACAGGGCAGCCATCAGCCTCACCTGGTCACAGGGCAGCCATCAGCCTCACCTGGTCACAGGGCAGCCATCAGCCTCACCTGGTCACAGGGCAGCCATCAGCCTCACCTGGTCACAGGGCAGCCATCAGCCTCACCTGGTCACAGGGCAGCCATCAGCCTCACCTGGTCACAGGGCAGCCATCAGCCTCACCTGGTCACAGGGCAGCCATCAGCCTCCACGGCGGGCAGCAGGCGCTGGGCTGCGAGGGCGGCCTGCACGCATGTGGAGGGACGGGCAAGGGGGCGCACAGGTGAGCCACAGGGGGATGTGAAGAGAATACACGCTGCCATGGCTGTGTGTGCTGCAATGGCTGTGTGTGCTGCCATGGCTGTGTGTGCTGCCATGGCTGTGTGTGCTGCCATGGCTGTGTGTGCTGCCATGGCTGTGTGTGCTGCCATGGCTGTGTGTGCTGCCATGGCTGTGTGTGCTGCAATGGCTGTGTGTGCTGCAATGGCTGTGTGTGCTGCAATGGCTGTGCGTGCGGCATGGCTGTGCGTACGGCATGGCTGTGTGTGCGGCATGGCTGTGCGTGCGGCATGGCTGTGCATGCGGCATGGCTGTGTGTGTGGCATGGCTGTGCGTGTGGCATGGCTGTGTGTGCGGCATGGCTGTGTGTGCGGCATGGCTGTGTGTGCGTGCGGCATGGCTGTGTGCGCGGCATGGCTGTGTGTACGGCATGGCTGTGTGTGCAGCATGGCTGTGTGTGCGGCATGGCTGTGTGTGCGGCATGGCTGTGTGTGCGTGCGGCATGGCTGTGTGGCGGCATGGCTGTGTGTGCAGCACGGCTGTGTGTGCAGCATGGCTGTGTGTGCGGCATGGTTGTGTGTGCGGCATGGCTGTGTGTGCAGCATGGCTGTGTGTACGGCATGGCTGTGTGTGCGGCATGGCTGTGTGTGCGGCATGGTTCTGTGTGCGGCATGGCTGTGTGTGCAGCATGGCTGTGTGTACGGCATGGCTGTGTGTGCGGCATGGCTGTGCGTGCGGCATGGCTGTGCGTGCAGCATGGCTGTGTGTGCGGCATGGCTGTGTGGCGGCATGGCTGTGTGTGCGGCATGGCTGTGTGTGCGGCATGGCTGTGTGTGCGGCATGGCTGTGTGTGCGGCATGGCTGTGTGTGCAGCATGGCTGTGTGTGCGGCATGGCTGTGTGTGCGGCATGGCTGTGTGGCGGCATGGCTGTGTGTGCGGCATGGCTGTGTGTGCGGCATGGCTGTGTGTGCGGCATGGCTGTGTGTGCGGCATGGCTGTGTGTGCGCCATGGCTGTGTGTACGGCATGGCTGTGTGTACAGCATGGCTGTGTGTACGGCATGGCTGTGTGTACGGCATGGCTGTGTGTACAGCATGGCTGTGTGTACGGCATGGCTGTGTGTACGGCATGGCTGTGTGTACAGCATGGCTGTGTGTACGGCATGGCTGTGTGTACGGCATGGCTGTGTGTATGGCATGGCTGTGTGTACGGCATGGCTGTGTACGGGATGCCTTGGGGGTTGGTGAGGCCTCACCTCGTGGGGTTTGCGGTGAGACATGTGCCACACAGCCTGCCCTATTGCATGCCACGTGGCGTCTCCCAGCTGGCCCACCCCAGCTGCTGCCAGCTCGTGGGCAGCATCTGTTGGACATGCATGCACGGGCCGACAGGGAGGGGCGCGCATGAGTTGTTGTTGGGCGCACACATGGGGTGGTGCGGGCGAGCATGGGGTGGTGCGGGCGAGCATGGGGTGGTGCAGGCGAGCATGGGGTGGTGCGGGTGAGCATGGGGTGGTGCGGGTGAGGAGGTGGCAGCGGGAGTGGGTGCGGTAAGGGAGGGCGTTTTACCGAGCGCTTGGGCGGGTGAGTGCGAGGAGGCGAGGAGCTGCACGAGGTGTGCTGAGGTGGACGCGGTGGGGGTGAGCCCTGTGGGGTGCACATAGACACACGATGAGAGTGGTGGCGATGGGTTCAAAAGGGAGGATATGGGATGAACTAGAAGCATGTGCATCAGAAGGGTGGCGCGATGGAAAGAAAGGCACGATGATGAGCATTCCACACCACACAGTGCTGGCTCGTTGCGAGGCGACGACACGGTATGCTTAGAAGCCTGCTGGAATGGTGGCTTATGAGGCATGGAAGCAAAGAGGGGAGAGAAAAGTTGGAATACGAATGTGGAGAGCAGCAACAGTTTGGCTACAAGCCTCAAACAAAGCTAGGGCATGATGGGCACGTTTGAAGCCAGCAAGCACGAGGGCGTTGGGGCACACTGCATCCTCAAGTCGACCCCTTTCCAACTATACTTGAATCGAACTGAACAGAGGGGGGGGGGGGGGGGGGGGGGGGAGGGTGATATTTGTCCCAACCTGTTCGGTTCGTTTGACCAAAACAGCCTAGCCGCATCAAACAGCGAGGTGCTCGACTGTTGGGCAACATGCTAGTCCAACACCAAGGCGTTCCACTCGACACCCACACAACCAGGGCTACGCGGGATGACATGATCAGTTTCACCCACATTAAACATTGAACCCAAAACCCTAAGCCGTAAACCCTCACCCTCACCTGAACCCTGAAAACATGTTTGAGACATGTTCGACCCGAACACGTTCGTGTTTGGGGTTTGCTCATGACTAGTTTAAAACCTAGGGTTGAGGGTTTCCTGCACTTTTAAAACCTCTGCGGGAACTGTCGCCCTTTACAAACATTGTTGTTCTCATGGAGGAACCAATGCTTTACCTTCTCCTCAAGCCCACATCTTACAAGCCCCTCTCACCGGCGCTTCTCATCTCTCGCAGGAAATTCTTCAAGTTGCCGTCAGGTGCTGCCCGCGTGCACTCGAGCAGCAACGCGCTGTCCACACTCTGGAGGGACACGGGGCCGCAGGGGGCAGGTTGGCACTCATGAGGGTAAGTCATCGAGAAACGAGTGGCTGCTCTCAGTGAAATTAAGATACAATCGGACAACAGAAGCAAAACATGTAACGAGAAAGAGTAAGACTGTTGGCTGATTCTTTATTCCATTGCAGAATGTGTAGGATAGGGAGGAGCGAATGATCGAACCACGGATAAGTTCGAGTCGATCGAACTGATTTGGTTCAATCTGCGGTTTGGTGCCATGCCAGGCTGAGGGATTGAAGGGTTGTCTTTTTCCCTCACCCCAGGCTTGTAGCTCCATGTGGGCAAAAGTGATGGGTAAAAAACAATCGTTCGTCCTCAACTTGGGTTGTATTGTACCCATAAAATGAGCCGCTCTTCCTCAAGCATGAAATGTTATCACGGCGGGCACACCTTGATCAGCACGTCCGGAACGGTCATGGCAGGCGGGTGGCCCGCCGCCACCATCTCCTGCAGCACCTCCAGTGCCCGCCCGCCCTCGCCACACCGCACCCACGCGTACACCGCACTGCGGTACGTCTGATGGCGTGGGGTTGGGTTAGAGGGGAGCAGAAGGAAGGAAGAGGGGGACATGTGAGGTGAGGCTGCGCGTGGCGTGGTGCCGGGCTGCCGGGTGGACGTGGTTCAAAAACGCTGACACGGTGGTTCAACAACGCTGACACGGTGGTGCCGGCGCAAGAGCCAACACTGGCTCAATCGCATGCATGCATGGAATGTTGCATGCAAGGAGCGCATGCGAAGCGAGTGAGAAGGGGTGGCTGGGGGGGGGAGGGCGGGGGGCTGACCACGGCATCATGTGGGCAGCCGGCGAGCGCCATGCGGTGCAGCGCTGCCTCCACCATGCCCGCCCGCCGCATGTGCCCAGCTGCTTGCTGCACACATGGCAGGGACAGGGAGGGAAGGTCACAAGGGAAGGAAGGACTTGAGAACTGGCTATGCGGGCAAGGGAAGGACTTGAGAACTGGCTATGTGGGCAAGGGAAGGACTTAAGATCTGGCTATGTGGGCAAGGGAAGGACTTGAGAACTGGCTATGCGGGCAAGGGAAGGACTTGAGAACTGGCTATGCGGGCAAGGGAAGGACTTGAGAACTGGCTATGCGGGCAAGGGAAGGACTTGAGAACTGGCTATGCAGGCAAGGGAAGGACTTGAGTTGAGAACTGGCTATGCGGACAAGAGAAGGACTTTACTGAAGGCGGACATGTCTCGAGCCTTCGCCCGTTGAATGGTGGGCTCACAATGAGGAGGGCGAAGGTGGCAGCGGTGGGAGGCAGGCCGCGGCGCTGCGCCTCCCCCAGCAGGCGCTCGGCTCGCTCCACCCGCCTCGCCCTCATGCACGCATGCGCTGCTGCGTTGAAGCTGCGCATGCACGGGTGCAGCCCTGGGGGGGAACATGGGGGGGAGGAACACATGGGGGGGAAACATGGGGGGGACACAATTCCTTAGGCCACAGCAAGGCAAGCTTGCAACATTGCAGCACGCAACCACATCTGCCCCTCATCCCTTGCAGCACCCACCTCTGCCCCTCATCCCTCGCAGCACCCACATCTGCCCCTCATCCCTCGCAGCACCCACATCTGCCCCTCATCCCTCGCAGCACCCACATCTGCCCCTCATCCCTCGCAGCACCCACCTCTGCCCCTCATCCCTCGCAGCACCCACATCTGCCCCTCATCCCTCGCAGCACCCACATCTGCCCCTCATCCCTCGCAGCACCCACCTCTGCCCCTCATCCCTCGCAGCACCCACATCTGCCCCTCATCCCTCGCAGCACCCACATCTGCCCCTCATCCCTCGCAGCACCCACCTCTGCCCCTCATCCCTCACAGCACCCACCTCTGCCCCTCATCCCTCGCAGCACCCACCTCTGCCCCTCATCCCTCGCAGCACCCACTCACCTCTGCGTCGCATCCCTCGCAGCACCGCCACGGCCGCCTCGGCATCACCACGTCCAGCATGGGCGCCAATCAGAATGTTGTGTGCTGACGTCAGCAATGTCCTGTTAGTTGCTTGTGTGCCTCCCCTGGCCGTTGCCATCCGCTCGCTGTACTGCCCTCCCCCTCCCCCGCTGTCCCTCTCCTCCTCCACTCCTGCCGCATGCAACCTTCTCCCTCGCCCTCGCCTCTTTATTCCCTCATCTCCACTCCCCCTCCCAACACCATCATCCCCACCACTCTCCGCCCCTCCTGCCATGCCGCCCACCTCCCCCATCTCCTCCCCTGCGCCCATCATTCCCCCCTCCCCCCTGTCTGCCCCTTGGGCGCCAGCTAAGGGGGACCAATCGGGCGAGTCTCTGAGGGCAGCACTCTCTGCCCTCGTCGCCGTGCGGCGTGCCTGCCATCTGCCCTTGTGCCCCAGGCTTCTCTCCATCTGCTGCACCACGCCCGCACACCTCTCCACCATGCCAGCCTGCCCATACACTGCCACGCATGGTGGACAGTGGGTGGTAACGAGGTATGGTGGATTCATGCTGGGACAGGGCAGTGGGGGCAGAGATTCATGCTGAGAGGAGTGAAGGACAAACACAAACATGCCCAGCAAGAAGCCCGGAAAAGAAATCCGCCCAGAATAGAAACTTTCAGTTCAATCCACCACGCACGCAGCACGCACCATGCATGCAGCACGCACCATGCATGCAGCACGCACCATGGGCGAGGGCACAGAAGGCGAAGGGCGAGGGGGGTATGTGGGCGGCCGTCATGTGGCGCCACAGTGCCTCTGCTGCCGCCACGTCCCCCGCTCGGCCCATACACGCCATCGCCACACTGCCCGGGAGGGGGGGTGGGTGGAGGGGATGGGGGCATGGTGTTTACAAGACATGAGCAAATCGGTCAGCCGCTTCACCCAGGACGAAGCAGTGCATTACGTGAGGCGCGGCTCGTTGAGCATGAAGTGAGGGTGGGCAGGCAGGCAAGAGGGGTGAGTGAGGTGAGGCCATTGGAGTTGAACCGCTGCATATGCTTCCCGGCACGGGGCACCGAGGGGAGGCGAGCGCGTTGAGTGGGTGGTGGGCGTTAGTGAAGGACGTGAGAGGGGCTTCATTGACGTGAGAGGGGCTTCATTCACGTGAGAGGGGCTTCATTCACGTGAGAGGGGCTTCATTCACGTGAGAGGGGCTTCATTCACGTGAGAGGGGCTTCATTCACGTGAGAGGGGCTTCATTCACGTGAGAGGGGCTTCATTCACGTGAGAGGGGCTTCATTCACGTGAGAGGGGCTTCATTCACGTGAGAGGGGCTTCATTCACGTGAGAGGGGCTTCATTCACGTGAGAGGGGCTTCATTCACGTGAGAGGGGCTTCATTCACGTGAGAGGGGCTTCATTCACGTGAGAGGGGCTTCATTCACGTGAGAGGGGCTTCATTCACGTGAGAGGGGCTTCATTCACGTGGCATGAGCATGCTGGCAAGGCAAGGCATGGGTAAGTACGGGGGGTGCACCTGAAGGTCCTCTCGGTGGGCACCTGAAGGTTCTCTTGGTGGGCACCTGAAGGTTCTCTCGGTGGGCACCTGAAGGTCCTCTCGGTGGGCGGCACGTGGCAGCGCGCCATGGCGGCCAGCAGCGCGGTGACGGCCTCCGCATGGCGCTCGCCCTCCATCACCACGTGGTACACCGCCGCGTCCGGTGCCGGCCCCCTCTGCTCCATCTCCTGCCCAGGGAGGAGCGCGGTGAGGGGGAGCGCGGGGGAGGAGGGGGGGCATTGGAGGGGGGAAGGGCGGGCTGTGGGGCTGTGGGAGGGGGGGGCATTGGAGGGGCGTGAGAGTATGGGAGGGTAAAAGGCACGGGCAGGGGGAAGACATGGGAGACGGAAGGGCATGGGGCATTGGGTTATCAACACACATACTGCCACATTGCATCGTGCACAGCGGCGGCCATGGCTGACCTGCAGCAGTGGCGGCCATGGCTGACCTGCAGCAGTGGCGGCCATGGCTGACCTGCAGCAGTGGCGGCCATGGCTGACCTGCAGCAGTGGCGGCCATGGCTGACCTGCAGCAGTGGCGGCCATGGCTGACCTGCAGCAGCGCATAGGCCTGGCTGACCTGCAGCAGCGCATAGGCCTGGCTGACCTGCAGCAGCGCATAGGCCTGGCTGACCTGCAGCAGCGCATAGGCCTGGCTGACCTGCAGCAGCGCATAGGCCTGGCTGACCTGCAGCAGCGCATAGGCCTGGCTGACCTGCAGCAGCGCATAGGCCTGGCTGACCTGCAGCAGCGCATAGGCCTGGCTGACCTGCAGCAGCGCATAGGCCTGGCTGACCTGCAGCAGCGCATAGGCCTGGCTGACCTGCAGCAGCGCATAGGCCTGGCTGACCTGCAGCAGCGCATAGGCCTGGCTGACCTGCAGCAGCGCATAGGCCTGGCTGACCTGCAGCAGCGCATAGGCCTGGCTGACCTGCAGCAGCGCATAGGCCTGGCTGACCTGCAGCAGCGCATAGGCCTGGCTGACCTGCAGCAGCGCATAGGCCTGTCGGCGCTGCCCCGCCTGGCAGTAGCCGCGCGCCATCACTGTGAGCACCCGGCAGTTGGGCGCCGCTGCTCCCCCCGCCGCCTGCGCCAGGCGCACCAGGTGCTCTGCCCGCGCCATGTCACCCGCGCCCACACACACCTGCACCCATGCATGACAGGGGTTAGGGTGTGGGGGGGCGTGCCATGCATGAACCATGTGGGGCATGTGGGTGGGTATGCGATGCAGGAATGGGGGGATGAGAAGAGCACCTCACGCCCTGAACCACCACTCTCATGCCCGCCCAGTCTGCCGCCTCATGAGGTGCACACACACACACACACACACACACACACACACACACACACACACACACACACACAAAAACACACAAACACAAACACACACACCCCCACACACACACACAAACACACACACACACACACAAACACACACACACACACATACACACACAACAAAACACACAAACACACACACCCCCACACACACACACAAACACACACACCCCCGCACACACACACAAACACACACACACACACACTCACTCACTCACACACACACACACACACACACACATACACACACAATGCCACACACACTCAAGCACACAAGCACATGCACACGCACACACAAGCACACACACACACAAGCACACACACACACACACACACACACACACACACACACACACACACACCTGCACAGCAGCCGTCACGTGCCGCACATTCACCTCCACTCCCACCCACTCTCCCTCTCTCACTCCCTCCCCCTCCCCTTCCCCCTCCCCCTCTCCCTCTCCGCCTCCCTCTCCCCCGCCCTGTTGCTCGCCGTGCGCGCCCCCCATGCCCTCTACCGCCGCCTCCGCCATCCTTTCCACCTCCCCCTCGCTGCTTGCCCATGCCGCCGCCTCCCCCGCAAATTGATTCTGCCGCACGGCGCGCATCAGCGCGGGAGTCACCATCCGCGCAGCAGCGGCAGCGCGCTCCCTCGCCGTCGCCTGTCCGCCCAACCTCGCCGCCATCAGCGCCGTCAGCAGCGCGCGCTCCCTCGCCCTGCGCTGCTCCCTGCGGCTCCGCGCATTCGTCTCCCCATCGCCGCTCGCCACTCCATTTCCGCCTCGCTTTTTCCCTGTACGCTCCACTCGCCCGCGCTCCTCTCGCCCGCGATCCCCCCGTCCGTGCTCCCCCACCTTGCGCTGCTCCTCCCTCCGGCACTCATCTCTCGGGTGCTCCACGACTCCGCTCTCCTCTCTTGCGCGCGCATTGCGCGTGGACGTTCTGGCGGGCAGCTTCAGCGGGGCAGCGGTGCAGAGGCCACTAGGAGCGGCGCAAGACTGGGAGAGCGTGGCAAGGGGAGCGTGCGGCGGGTGGTGGTCGGACTTCGTGGAGAAGGGCGACGGCGTGACGGGTGGAGCCCAGAAGGACGCCGCGATCATGGGCGCCGCGATCATGGGCGCCGCGATCATGGGCGCGGGTCGGTGAGGCAAAGCGGCAATACTGGCCGATGGCGACAAGGCGGACAGAGCACTAGGAGAAGCTAGTGCGGAACGAACGAGTCGTCGATGCGGATTGGGCAACACAATGTAACACACTTGATGATGCGCTGCTCGTATCCCACTCGACGAGGTGAGCATGCATCTGGGCTGCCCAGTACATCCAACGCGGCTGTCTGACGTGGAGGCGATCTTGTTGGAGAATCAAGTTTCTGCTGCCCCAGCCCTTTTGCACACAAGGAGCAGCAAGGGGGGAATGTCGGCGACGGATTGAAGGTTTCGCAAACAAATCAGAAAGTTTCTCAACCAATCAGATTGGAGCCGAATTCTCGATACAGTTCGGAATTGTTTTAAAGAAGAAGTGTCAACAGTTTCTACAGGTTTTTACCAAACAAAATCAGCTATGACAGAGAATTCCAGAGCTTTCTTATTCATGCACCTCATGTGGCTCTCAAGTCACTCAAGGTTCATGAAATCTGAATTGTGCCTAAGTTCTCCAGGAAGTTGCCTTGTCTAGCAGCCTAGTTTGAGCTATCAATCTGCATGATTGTAATGCTTAAGAAGTTGTGCCTTAGTGGGCTTGTTAATCTTGAGCATAGTGTAAGTTTTCTCTCATCAAGCCAAGTCCAGCAGCTCTGTTGAGCTTTTCCAGCCAAGTTTCCAGCCTTCCAGTCATCAGAGCTACTCTGTTTTACAAGTTGGTATCAGAGCTCGTCGTTTCGATCAACCTAGCCCACCACGTTCCTATCCTAGCACCATATGAACATGGCGGGAGACAATCCATCTGGTCCTGCCCTCCAGCCAGCCAGAGGAGCTTCAGAGTCAACATCAGCAGCTACTGGATTAGTGGAAGCAGTTGCACCAGGCAGTCCTTCAACAACATACTCACCACTCACCTCCTTCATGCATAAGCTTCACCTCCCCAAGTTCAACGGCAAAGATTTTCCAACATGGGCAACTCAGTTTGAGCTCACTGCATCCCTTCTGGATCTGTGGCCTTACTACACTGCAGAAGCAGCCAAACCAGCAGCAGATGCTTCAGAAGCTGAAAAACGACTTTACAAACGACGCAACAAGGAGGCTTTCCTCTACCTACTCAATAGCATTCACGAGCAGCAGTTGAAGTCGCTCCTGCCCTGTTCTACCAAGGCAAACAGTGCAGAGGAAGCATGGAGCCGACTGAAGACTATGCACTAGTCAAAATCCGAGAGCAGCCAAGCCGAGATGTGGAGCCGCTTCATGAATCTGAAGATGGAAGAAGATGAATCAGCACAAGCCTACCTACAACGAGCTGAAGCAATGTTGGAGGAAGCAGCAGCGATCGGCTTGGAGATTCCAGAGTCTCTTTTCAAGACCGTCATCCTCACCGGCCTTACACCGGAATGGGACACTTTCCGTGCAACACTACAAGCGCTCCCGCAGTCAATGAAGAGTCGTGCGTTCATCTTTGAGGCCCTTGTCAACGAGCAGCAAAGTCGAGACCTTGCACGGAACAAGCGGAGTGACGAGGGTGCGTGGAGTGCTGCAGCAACTACAAGATATGGCAACCAATCCCAGAGGCAAGGAAATTTCAGCCCAAACCGCCCTCAACCATTCTATGGTACGAATTTTCAGTCACCTTCCAACTCATACAAACCCTCTCGTTTTGCTCAGTCAAGTCCTCCCTATAAGTCCAGTCCCTATGTCCAGCCAAGGCCTTCTATTCCCAATCAATATCAGCCCAGGAATGCAAGAGTTAATCCGCCAAGAGTCAATAATTTCAGCCAAGCCTCGAATGCTAAAAAGTTTAATTTTGAGTGTTTTTGTTGTCATGAGTGGGGTCATCCGTGGTATGCTTGTCCTAAGAAGCCTCCTAATTGGGTCCCCCCTCCTCAGCTACTATCTGAAAAGGGTAAGGCAGCCATAGCAAATATAGCAAGTCATTGTACTAGTCAAAATGAGTCCAAAGATTCTGATGGTCCTGTCCTTTTCAACACTGCTTCTTGCATGCACGTTTTTTCTACTAATAGTGAGGAGTTTATTCTTGATAGTGGTTGTTCTGAAACCATGACTCCCTATCAGTCCATTCTCAAAGATTTTCAGCCCTCGTATGACTCAAAAGCTGTGACACTTGCTGATCTTGGCAAAGTACCTATCAAAGGAGTCGGCAAGCTTGAGTTTGAAAAGAATGGTAAGTCTTTTTGTGTCAATAAAGCTTAGTTTGTTCCTGATTTGGGAGCAAACTTGCTCTCAGCCGAACAACTCGAAGAGAAAGGTGCCTCCGTTCTCTTGCAAGGGGGGAAAGCCAAAGTGTGGGATAGTGCAGGAAATTTGGTGGCTGAAGGCGAGCGTACTGGGCGTCTCTACAAGATGAAGTTGGAGATTAAGCGCGGTTCTAGCAACGCGAAGAACGACGTTGTTTCGCTTCCCGCTGTTTCAACCGATCAAGTCAACAACAAAGGGAGTATCTCCCAAGCTGAGGTATGGCATGCACGCTTGGGGCACTTGGGGATGCAAGCATTCAAAGAGTTAGTAAGTCACAAGAGCGTGGAAGGACTTAATTTGAGTGAAAGTGCAGTCAAGTCTCTTTCTACCGTCCCATGCCCATCTTGTGTCGAAGGTAAGCTAGCAAGAAAGCCATTTTTTCCTTCTAAGTCTCAGTCAAGGGACCTCCTAGAGTTGGTCCACATTGATGTATTCGGCCCTATGCGAGACCTGTCAGAACATTATAGCTGATACATGTTTGTAGGCTGTAGTGGGGTAGCACATATGGGGTACAGATTCCTAGGGTTTGTTATTTGTACCAATTTCTGACTTAGTCATTTCATTCCTCTTCTCATTTGTTTCACATGGTATCAGAGCACGCCGCACCATTACCCTGACTCAGTCACACATGGTGCTGCCGGTCCCGGAGCTGCTGGGCCTGCGGGTCCTCTTGGAGCTGGCGCTGCTGAGGGTGTTGGTGCTGAGACTGCTGCTGTTGGTCCTGCTGCTGGAGGAGTTGGTGGCCCTGGTGCTGTCGCTGAGGGTGCTGGAGCTGTCCCTGCTGCGCCTGGAGCTGCTGAGCGGCCTCGACCGTACTTCGTTCCGCTGCTGCAGCAGGTTCTTGGTCTTTCTCCTCCGGTAGAGGGTCCAACGCCTGTCCAGTCGCAGTCCCTGCTGGAGCCTTCCTCTCCGCTACCTGCTCCCTCTCCTTACACTGGTCCTACTGGAGGTCTTGCTGAGCGTCGTGAGCCTGCGTCTCGTCCTGCGTCGCCTGTTCGTCCTGCTCGCGCTACTGGTCGCGGTTCGCGTCAGCGTCCTCCTCCTGTCCCTGGCACGCACCAGATGTCTTTGCGTCCGTCCACTGCTCCTCTGCGTGCCCCTTTGCCTTCTCCTCCTGCGTCCTCTCTTCCTGCGCTTGCCGACCCTGCGTCGGACTCTCTGCGTGCTGCCAGTCCTACTGTCACGCGTTTCCTTGCTACTGTGGTCACTGACCCTTCTTTCGAGTCTTCTGCTGCGTCTGCCCTACTCACTGAGCTTGTCGACTTTGCTGCTCGCTGTCGCTTAGACTACGCTGCTAGTCTTGTTGCTGAGTGTGCGTCTGTCTGTCCTCCGTCCGTCGGGGGTGAGTGTGCTCTTGGCACGGACGTCCTAGAGGACAGGCAGGAGGAGTTACAGTGTCTAGCGG